TGTGTAGAGTTGAATGTTTAAACTTTATAGTGCGCCAACGAGATTGGAATTATTACAAAGAAAAAGCAGGTTATTATAATCATTTAGTTAAATCATTGTCAGATACTATCATAAAATGAAAGATTAATCTTGGCGCCTTATCGTTGTTAAAATGCTGGCTACTTTTATAAATTCCATTTATAATATGAACACATGTGTTTGTCTGTTGTTCATCGTAAAAATATAGAGAGATTAGTGAGAAACAATCATTTTATAGAATCAAATATTTCAAGAACAAAGTTCTTTATCTATTTTGTTAGCGCTCCGATTTAACTTGACTGTATAAGAGATTTCATTCCAATTACTTTGTTCTTAGTTATATAAATTTAAGCTGCTAATTTTATCAGAGTCTTTATCTTTCTAAAGCAACCTAAACTAAACAAGAAAAAATTTGAAGCGATATCAACTATTAATAATAATAAAGTTCTTATTACACTTGAATCCTTTTTTTTAAACTCATATTCCACTGCGTTCAATTGAAGTCAATTCATTTAAAAAAATCTTCTCCCTTCGAAGCATAATTTTTGTGATTTAAATTTAGTTATTAGTGTGTCTACGATTTTTAACTTTTCTTCTGTTTTTAACCTTTGTGTTGCATTGTCGTTATTCTTTTTATACTTAATTTCTTAATTAAACATAAGTGGCAGCTCCACTGCTTCCGGCTTGATGTTGAATTGGTTGGGGACTGACGGGTGGGTTAAGTTTACCTGGCACGTATTGTCCAATAAATGAGCCATCTTCAGTGAATTGTCCGCCTAGTTAAGTAAAATGAAATGAATAATTAATTAAAAATATATTTTTATACCACAAAATAAACTAACAAGAGAAAATATTTCAAAAAACTACAAGCAGTTCGTTTATTCGTAGTATGCTCAAAACCGACAACAAATTAAATCTTAATCAAAGTAAAAATATAAAAAATAATTACCTCAAAATAAATCAAATTGCATACAACAATAATTGCAACAAACAGAAGACCAAAATATAAAAGAAAAATATGATCTTGAATCTAAACAGGATCTCGTCAGTTTACAGCCTTACGCCAATGGGTTTGGAGAGATTAAGACGAAGCGTTTTTATGTTTTGATTCGTAATAATGAAATTTGTAAGAAGAAAATAAAAATTTAAAAATAATTTACACAAGCGTTGCAAACGCTTGATTATTTGTCGGTTGTTGTTTTCCCTTGCGTCCATATTGACCAATGAATGAGCCATCTTCATTCATTCCCTCTGCGAAAAACAAAAAGGTCAACGTCATAAAATCATAAAAAGAACATCTAAGCGAGAAATGGTGGTGGAAGAAGCTTCTAAAAACAAGCAGTACGAGTTTAAACTTTTATAGTAAGTTTCTAACAAAACTTTTTATGAAAGACGTTTCTCTTTTACGAAGCTTTCTCCACATGTCAATTAAATGAATACTAATAAAAAATGCAGCTAAAATGCTAACTATACTAAAATGCAGCCAATATGCAGGAAAACATTTCGGGGAAAGAATATAAATAGTACAGATATTTTTAAAACAATAAACAATTAAATGTGAACATGGAGTTCAAAGAACTTCTGGTTTCATCATTAAAAAATCATAGAAAAAAAAAATAATAAAAAGCAAATTTCAAGTTCAAGTGAATGAAAAAAATATTATTAATTAGAGATAACTTTAAAAATAAGTTTTGATCCCTCCAAAAAGCCTAAACAAAGAAAAAACTAAAAGAAAGAGGGAGTCAAACTAAACGTAATCTTACCGGCTTCGCCATCACCATATTCGGCCATTGAGTCCGTATCGCTCTCGGGACCATGCTTTTGTGAATTTAATGATTGTCTACCTTGAGATTTGTTATCCAAACTGTAATCACGTAAAACACTAAACTCTTTTTGTATCCAAGTTTTAATTTGATTGTGAGGGTTTAAGTTAGATATTTCTTAAATTATATTTTAAGAGGTGACATTTATATGGGATGAAAGAATATATTTAGTATTCGAATTTGTTATGAATACTTTGAAGAGAATTTTTATTCTAAGTGGAAAGATTTTTTAAAGCTTTTAGAAGATAGATTAATGAATATATATCAATCTGCTAAAGACTGACAATATAATAATTAAAGCTTTTCTTAAGTTCAAAAATTTAAATAACAAATCAATTAAGTATCATCAAAAATCTTGTTAGTTGCATTATTTATTAAGGTAGCTTATTGGAAATTCCGCAAACTATGAAAGCTTTAAGATGCATATTAGTTTTCTGATTTTCTGATTAAAATATTTTAATCCCACGAAAATTTTACATGTAAGCAATTGCATAGTAAAATGAAAAAAAAAATATATAACTTTTATCTGCAAAAGTCATTAAGAAAACGAAAGGAACAAAAACTTTAATGTAACAGAAAACTAACAAAGCTTACCATATTTTCAGCAATTTTTCATTTCGTTTTTTTCTGTTCATTTTTTGAAAATGAAACAATTTGGTTCATAATTTTCCAAAAATAAATTCTCTTTTTACGTTTGTTTCTTTTCTGAATGTTATATTTGTAAGTGAAACAAAAAACACTTTAAAATTAAAACTTCATTTTATGAAGCTGAGTAGTTAAGGATATATGCAATTTTTAAGCTCTTTAAAATCACTTTTCAGACGAATTTAAGGCAATGTTAAGTGTACAATTGTCGGTTAAAAATAATAATCGAGTTTGGTTTTGTTAGTGACAGTTTCTAATGTTCACTTATATGAGATGGATGATCAAAGTGAATTGTGAAGGTTTTGCTGTTTATGTTAATAAACATCAACACAGTCAGAGAAGATGATTTTGTTAGTTATTAAGACATCAAAAGACAACATAACATTCCTTGCATAAATAATATCGCTAGAATTAAAATATTTTCCCTCACATTTTCTTAAAATGCAATTGGCCGAAAACAAGACTAGCCATATTTTTTACACCCGAATCGAGTGGAGGATTGGAAGGAGCATCTGTAGGACTGAAATGAAAATTGAATTGCGCTTATAATTCTTACACGGTTTGGAGAATTGTAACAAAATAACAAGAAGAAAGATAAATTAACTACAACAACAAAACCTTCACAGCAATGATCGTGAGAAAGGATAATAAAAATTGTTAATAGAGATTATCAGGTTCACTGAAAGATGTCTTTTGAATTATTTGATGAATACTAAGATGATTTTTTTATGAAAAATTTACTCATCTCATATCATTTGACTTACGGTTGGGAATATTCGTGGAATCCACCCTCATCGGGGTAATCTTGCCGTCCATTTGCCAACTCTCGGTCATGCACATCATATTTTCCTCCACGGTTTCGTTTGATAATGCAAATGATTACGAGAATAAGAATAAGGAAGGCAAGTGCGAGAATCATTCCAATGAACCAGCCTGCAATAGCTGTATCATCACCTTGCGGTACAACTTTAACGCCTAAAATATACATCACAATGTATATATATATATATATATTGTATCAACAAAAACTATTCTCTATTTACCTGAGTCTGATGTGCTAAAAAGTTTAGCTTCGCTTTCAGTCTCTTCTTTGCCATCAACAGACACAACTCTGAATTCATAGTCTGCATTTCCACTCAAACCACCAACTTCAGTAAAATCTTCACTAATCACTGGATCCATAGATTCATACTTTGGTTGACCGACTTCACGGTATTTTACATAGAAATGTGATCCTGGCTTGCCAGCAAAATTTGGCCGCCAATTAATTTTAACTTTATCGTAAGCGCCATCTGATGGAACCTTTTGAATTTCAAAGCTTGCTTTATCTGGTTTGTCACCAGCTGACGCTTGTGTCGTTTGTTCGATGTAGTAACTACAAAAAAAAAATTATTATTTGAATCAAAAGTTTTATGTTATCATTAATTAACTTACTCTTCTCCTTCACCCTGTTTCGTGAACCCAACAATATGGATTCGATATTTTTGGTCCGATTTAAGGCCAGCGAGTTTTGCTTGTTTTACTTCAGGATCAAGAATTCTCGGTTCACGTTCCTGACGTGGTCCAAGTTCAGTTCCCTTCACTTCTTCATAGTAAATTCGATAACCTTGAAGAATGCCATTGGTAAGAAGTGGACGTTTCCATTGCAACATAAAAGCTGATGTTCCCATGGGAAATGCCTGAAGAGATTGAACTGTGCTTGGAACACCTTCTGGTGTTTTGAAGTTAATCGTGTTACTAGGAGGTCCACTGAATCTATCATTAAATGCCATAATGCGAGCGTAATTCATAGAATCTGGTGTGAATTTATTCACCAAAGCTTTCGATGTATTTGACTTCATCAAAATTTCTTTCACATTTTCTTCGTCACCTTCAACCCATGTCTGAATTTTATACCCACGGAAATGACCTTTGATTGATTCTGGTGGAACTTCTTCCCATGACAACATAGCCGATGTTCCCGATACGACGGTATCAAGTGTCAACATCTTTGGAGCTTCCGTTGGTCCTATAAATAGAAATGATTAAAACCAAAACGAACAAAATTGAAAAAATAAACTGAAAATTCAATTGGATTTATATTTTCTTTCGTTGAATTTCTTTCTTTATTATTTTTCTTCTTAACGAATTGTATTGATGGATGATAAAAAGGACTTATAAGGCAAGCTCGCAGATTATTCTGAAAACAATTTCTTTAAGTAAAATTTACCTGAAACTCGACACTTTCCACGTGACTTATTTTTATTTTACATCATTTTAAGATGAGAATATAAAGCGATCTGACTTCAAGTCCAATCAACTCAATTTGCTTCTCAAAACAACAACAAACAAAAGACAGGACGTGAATGAAAATTTTCCTTGAGTTAAATTTGAATTTAATTCTGTATCTTGTATTCTTTCTTAATTAAAAAAATGTATAAGTTTACGTCACGCGACATCTATCTAAGCATGAAGAGAGAAATCTTCGTTTAATATAGAGTGGGTAATAAATAATTGCATAAACACAATTCTTTTTAACATAAAAATCTCGTTACAACTTTTGTTTCAGAACAAAAAAAAATTATTATCCTTTTTAAAGGGTATTAGATAATAAATGTTAAAGATGATTAAAAAACTTAGCATGATTTTTGTTAGCGCCAACTTCAACAACTGTGATTAGAAATTCAATGAATGAAAACTTATTTTTTATTTTTATTGATCTCTCAATAAGAGATGCGAAAGAGTGATAAGGGAAAGCTTTAAACACATTAAAGCAAAAAAGAGCAACAGAATATTTTGCCATTGATCTACAACAAAATATTCAATTTTCTTTTACACATCAATACTCACTGTCTTCACCAGAATAGCCTTCAACTTCCTTCACAGCAACATTTGATTCTCCTTTTTCGTTGACAGCTTGCACTCTAATTTTGTAACGTTGGAATGTTGGTTGATTAGGCACTAACAACTCACCATTTTCCCATTCGAAGTTGTCTTCTTTGTTCCACTCAGCACCAGCAACATCACGCTTCCATGACACACGATAATGAAATTGTGGAGCATTGTGATCGATCTCGGCCATTGGTGACCATTTTATAACGAGATTATTAGGTTCAGTGCCTTTTCCTTCTACATTATCTGGATTCTTATACGGAACATCTGGTTGTGTGGTGCATGAATCGCTGTGATCAGATGGTGATGATATGCCTACTTTATTGACAGCAATTACACGATATGTATAATTAGCCCATGGACTCATTGGTACTGTATAAGAGAAATCTGTTGCTGGAACTTGACTGGCAGCATCAGCCCAAGTATCAGGAGTGAAAGAAGTATTGTATTGAATGATGAAATAAAGAATTGGTGAACGATTGTCTCCTTTAGGCTCCCATGAAACTGTAGCGTCACGAGCATTACAACGAATACCAGTAAGCACTGGAGGGTTTGGTACATCTTGAACAGTCAATGTTGCTGATGCTGATGCTTCATCAAGTTCAGTTCGGGCTACACAAGTATAAGATCCAGAATCCAATTCAATAGAATTTGAAATCGATAAAGAATAATCGCTTGACATTGTGAAACGTGCCTGGTTTTCAAGGTCAATTACTTCACCATTCCAAAGCCATTCAATTTCTCGTTCAAGACCAGGATCAGACTCTGCATTGCAACGGAATGTTGCTAGTGTTCCAGCGACAACTTCAAAATCTTGCGGTGCTTCAGAGATTTGTGTATGTTGGTACACTACGAGTGTACCATTTGCTTCTTTCGTTCCAAATTTATTCTCAGCATGACAAATATAATCGCCAGCATCATTATGTTGTGTTTTTTCGATTATCAAATCACCAGTTTCTTGAATTTTATAACGTCCACCAGTTAATTCCTGTCCATTACGAATCCACTTTATTCTAGGCTTTGGTGCACCAAATACTCGACATGTCAATTTCACATCACGTTCATCAACTGTTGCTTCCTTTCCAGGTGCTTCCTCAATCTCTGGTGGTAAAGCCAATACGTTCACATAAACATCTTTATAGACATAACCGAGTGCGTTAGTTGCATTACAACCGTAATTGCCAGTGTCACTTTTCAAAAGGTTTTTAATAATGATTTTATTCTTTAAAACTGTTCGACGTGGGTTCTGTGGAGCTTGTTCAATTGGTTTTCCATTGTGGATCCATTTAATTGCTGGTTCGGGAATACCTTTAGCTTCACATTCAAAAACAACAGTTTCTTCCTCAGCTGCGTTTTGGGGTTCAGGTTCTTTAGTGAAGTATGGAATTGCTTTAATTTCTAAATTGATTGACGATGATTGAGGTTGTCCAGCTCCATTTGAAACATCGCATGTGTATGATCCTCGATCTTCTAATGCCGTGTGTCGTATAATCAGTGATTTTCCATAATTTCCTTGTGTTATCCGATCACTCCAGGCTATTGGTCTTCCATCTTTAGTCCAAATTGTTTGTGGCAATGGCGTTCCACCATATATACAAAAAATTTCGATTTTCTGACCTCGCAACGCAACTTCATTACGACGTGATACATATTGACGTGTTGGTTGGTAACGATTTTGTGCTGCGTTACTGGCTGGGATAACTTTCAATAGAACACGATTTCCTAATTTGTATTCATTACGGAATGTCGATGCAGCCGAACAAGCATAGTAAGAATCATCTGACGCATCAAAGCGAGTAACATTTGAAAACCACAAGTTTCCTTCAGGATCAAGAGTCATTCGTGAATTGTTTATTGTTTTGATACCACCAGATGTTGTCTGAATCATCCAATACACACTTGGTTTTGGCCAACCATCTGGTGGTTGACATTTGAGTTGAAATGGTGAACCTTCCTGTGCTTCAAGCGTATGAATAGCTTCATCTTTGAAATTATTTAACTCTGACTTCCTAACAAACACCGAATTTGATGTTGCAATTCCATGCTCGTTCTCAGCAAAACATTGGTATTGACCCAAATCTTCATCACGTGGCTTTGTGATTGTCAATGTACCACGTCCAGGTTGCTGTGTTATTCTATCGTCATAAGCTGTGAAGTCAAAGTGTTTTCCGTTTTTAATCCAGCGATACCTACGAAAGAAGAAGAAAAAAATCAAAAGAAGAATAAAATTCGTTGTTATTTGAGGTTTCTTATTCATGTTCAAGTTATTATCATTTCTTTTAAAAATATGTTCATTTAGTACTTAGTAAAAGAAATTAACAACTATGTGTGTATATGCGAATCTACCGATTACAGATATATGAAGAATAAAAAAAACTTCTATTTAACCTTGGTATGATTTTATTCAATTGAATTTTATTGTGATTGAATCATCTTAAATATGTACATATATGACTCGTTGGGCGCTGTCTACAAAAAGTTTTGTGCTATAATGTTTAAATTTTTTTTTCTGTATCTTGTCATGCTTTTAATTTTAGGTGATGTTGACGAATTATGCGAGCACACTATGAATGACGCTCAAAAAAAAGTGAAATTAATTTTTTTTATCTTTTATTTTTTCCTCTCCTTCTCTTTTGAAGTCATTTATGATTAAAGATTTTGATAGTATAAGAAAGCGAACATTTTTTTTATTCGTTAATTGAACCTGAAGAATACATAACGGCGGAAATTCATTTGTCAATTGCAGAAGCGAATTAAAGAAACAAAAGAGAAGAATTCACTTGATTTTTTCGTGGTTTGATCTGGCTTCACTCTGTTTCAATATTAGGTAGAACAAAACAGAAAGTGATTGCTGTTATGTAAACGTTCCAAAGATACTCTCATAGTTGTTAGAATACATAAATAAATGACTCTTTAACCATTGAACTCTAATATTTCATTTTCTCGATGATTTCATTGGAATGATGTCATGTTTAAAAGTCAATAAAAAATTTAGATTGAAAATGCAGTTAAATATGTACATATAATCAATTCTAGTTGACTACAAAACAGGACTACCTAATAGATATGAAGAAATGTAGAAGAAACGATATATAAATTTGAATTTTGTACTGTTCTCGCAAAAATTATTTAATCAACTAAAGTGAGAATCGAGAAATATTGTTACTAAAGCGTGGGATGTTGAATGAAACTACAGAAAAATACATAAACATGTGAGACTTAAATTGTTATTTAATAAAATGATTCTCACAACATAACAAGATCCTCCTTTGGTCGCTCTTCACTTGACGACAATTACGAGCGATTTATTAAAGTTTATCACTATTGTTCAACTTCAGAAATGCTCTTATGACTGTCATTATATACATAAATTATCACTTGCTTTTATGAGTTGTGCCTACATTCATTCAAGTTATCTTCAACTCAAAGTGTCCACTCTCACATAGTCGCAGTACAAGTGTCAAATTATTATCATGCAAACGATTTATCATATAATTTTAACTCTTATTTAGAATGACACTGACGTATGCAGTAAAGCAGATTTTAAAGAATTTATATATTTTTATATCATAGAATATTTCATATTCAAGTGTATATAAATAATTAAACACTACTATATTTAAAACGTAAATATCTAGTAAATAAAGTTGATGAATCAAGTTGATGAATCAAACATTTTCGTTAAATTTTATTGGAACTCTTCAACGAATGTTAAATAAAATGTTGAATGTAACTTAAATTAAATGTACACAAAATTACGCATTCTGAAACTAAAAATATTTTATCAAAAACTTAAATAGAATGTATGCAAGCCCGAAAGTTTACCATTGTTATGCGAATCAAAAATTTGAAAAGAAATGAATGATTATTGTATGTAGACAATTCTTTTTTAATTGAATGCGTCATTGTTCAAAACTTGTGTAATGTTGATACGTCTGATGTTGATTTAATAAAGAAGTGGAAACAAATGACGGTTTTCAGACTTTGATGATCTGTTCTCAAATTTTATTTCATCGACTAGTTTCGATGACAAAATGTCATCATCTTCAGGATCTTCTACAATATCAATATAAAATTTTTTTTTTTTTAAAATCTGAATTTCACTCAAACATTAATATCATCTTACAGAAATGTGTGAGAACTTTGTCAAATTAAGTAAATGAATTTTAAATATTTTCTGCATACAAATGTTTTTCGCTTCCAATCGCATTGAGGATTCAACTTATACCAAAGCATACAAGGAAGATTTTATATTTATCATCTATGTACTTTTCTCTCAATTTTGAGTTTGTTGTGATTGTGTTGATGTTGTTCAAAACATTTCAAACATTTCCATACAATTTCATTACTTGCTACATTATATACTTATATACAGGTGCTGGATTCCAGGAATGTTTCCGCTTTATGCTGGTTAAATACTTTCCAAATTATATGATCAAATATTATTTATATTCGTCTATCATCACTGCAAGTTCAGTTTTTGTAGAAATCAAACAATGTTCATAGAAACGTATTACTAATACGTTAATTTAAAGTTTATTCATTTCAATCTACTATTTTTATCCCAATAATGGGGAAATGGAATTTTTGATGGAGAACGTTCTCAAATTTGCTAAAATAACTAATTACTCAAGTGACAAATTTACTCAGAAAATCTTAAAAAGAGCATGCTCTTAAATGTTTACGAATGAACCAATAAATAAACAAACAAACAAACAAAACATCAAATTATAAATAACAAAAAAAAATATCACAAGGACATGAAATGAAGTATTTGAAATGACTACCTATAAGTTAAGGGTTGGAAAAATGTTTTCACTATTCTAACAACCAATGAATCACAATTCTTACTAAAACGTTTTCATTGTTTGAATCTATATAAAAAGCAAGGACTTTTGTTATGTTCTGTTCTTATTATTTTGTTTATTTTCATCGTTTTTGTCAATCTTACTCAATGCCAGCCGCTACTTTAAGTATCACATTTCAAGCGCACTGTTAAAAGCTTTTATTGCTTCTAATTTTGCACAGCAGCGAAGCAAACGAGTATAAAAGACATCAATAAATTATTTAGAAGTAAAACGATATTCCACCACTTTTTGTTTATTAATGCGAAACATACGAGTGCAGAACAATAAAATGATATGAATTTCATTCTATGTAGGTAAATGTTTAATTAACTTGGAAATGCTACGAGGTGGAGCTACTTTTTTTAATCCAATTATGTTTTATTATCAGATAAGTATGACGGTGATATTGGGAAATTAATGAAACAGAAAAAACTTCTATTTCAACAGTGTACTTTTTATTAATATCCGTGAGGATTTGTACCGCAGGGCAAACCTAATTCGTTAACTTTTATATAATCATTAAAAATAATTAATGCAGTGTCGTTTTTACGTCAGTTTGAAAACATTACTCCATAAATAGATGATGATCTAGAACTTTAAAATCAAAATCAAATTAACATATCTAAGTAGGTAGTAAGTATTAGCATCAATAATATCATTTCTGTTTTACTCATTGCTGTCAATTGCCAGTTGAAAACAAATTGTTCGCATAAGAACTTTCAAATGTAATCTCATTGTTTAAAACATAAGAACATTCCACATACTTATTAAGAAAGAAGAAAAATAAATATCCTGCATCCTTGTCCAAAGAATAATTTATAAATTTGCGATAGTAAAACATAAAGAAATTAAACTATAAATGGGTGAAATAAAGGCATTTGTGACGCAAGGGGAAAGAAAATAAATGTGATTGACTGGAAATTTTAAAGGCCTGTGTAATTTTGGTTGGCAGCAAAACAGCTTCACATGAGGTCTGTGAATGCTACAAACTATAAATCTTCATTAAACATTTTCTTTTGCTCTTTCCGACCTATTGATGACATTAAACACGCGATTAAAATAAAAATAATAAACAATGAAATCTTAAGTTCTTTATGTTTATGACAGTATGTGATATTCAATATCAACTTAATTTTTAAATGTATTCAAATTATATTTTGCGAGAAAACTGACAGTTGACGTTCATGTTTGCATTAACCGATAAAGATTTTAGGTAAACACCATGATAATGCCAATTTCATTAATATTAATTTTACAAGAATTAATGTTTTTCTTAGTATCTATATACATAGTCTAATCTAGAAAATCGTAATTAGCTGTATCAGAATATAATCCGGCGACAAAAAGACGAATGAAGAGAAGACAAAGTTTTCATAGAATAACAATTTTCAATGATTTTTCAGTTAATAGTCAATGGTACTATTTATTAATCACCACCATTCATACAACGGTTTCACAAATATTTCCGAGCAGACTTCTGTGTATTACCAAATAACCAAACCAGACAACAAATAAAGGACAAAATAAAGAAGGAAAAAAGCTATTAAACAATTTTTTCAGCTGAGAGTAAATACTTAACAATAAATAAATAATTTCCGTCCGTTACTTTAACCCAATAGTTTGATCATTCTCGTTCTTCATGGAAGACCTTTTCAGTATCAACTGACTTTAATCCACAATGAAATTAACTGCAATAGGATCATTGTCAAAAAGTCTAGTTTAACTTTTAAATCTGATGCAGATGTGTGTGTAGATTTAATTGCTGAACATTATAAAGAGCAAAGAAATGATTACTTCAAATTGAATTTAATTTGTGATTTTTGGTATTAAACTTTGGCGTGCGCACACCTCCCACGACAAAGAGCACGGGACAATGCTACATTAATTTAATAAATGAATCTAAATTAATATTTATGATGTTCTAATTATTTCAAGTACCGATTTCATTTTATCATGTCGCTGTTTCTATTTCAAATTTTATTTTAATGATTTTAAACAATTTGAAACTTTTAAGTGTTTCAATCATCGATCTCAATCAAATATTCATAACTGCTGAGATTTGCAAAAACAATTTAGTAAAATTATCAAGGCATCCTACAAATTTGCTCATTTGATCCCTAAATTTAATTCAATGTTTTGTTATTTTCTATGTGTGAGCTTGACGCATACGTTATTGATTTTTTATTGTGAGAAATTTTATTTTCACCCCAATATTGGGAAAATGCGTGTTTCATAAACATTTTTCTTTTAGATTATCAGGATTTAAACCTTAGCCTTCTTTCCGTTGAAATAAATTTCAAAATTTCATGTAGCAGACAGAAAGAAGGAAAATTACAGGTAATTTAAGTATTTTTTCTAAGAATAAATTGAAGGGAAACCATTGAATGGTTGTGACTCATTCAACGCGTTGAACAGAAAAGGTAAATAAGCGAGACAAGTTATAAAATTCATGATAAAAAAGAGAGAAAATAAAATTTTGAGCAAGTGTTAATGCAAATTTTACTACCCAAACTGGAGATTTGGTCCAGTAAGAATATGAAAAACATTTTTTTTAATTTAGATATTTATTTCATAACAAAGTACAATATCTAGTATTTTTTATGAGGATTATAGGGCAGGTAAAAAGTTTTAGTGTAATAAAAGAGTACATAAGAGGAAAGGGAAGTTTGTTATATAAGAATGCAACCGATGCCAAAATTTTTTAAGCTCATTAAAAAAGGGTATCGAATGAAGAAACGAAAATAACTGTCCATGTTAACGGATCTCCACGAGTGCACGTGCTGTACATGTCAATTTCCGTTTGAAAGAAATAAGATTCTTTCGAAAGGAAATTAAAAACTTAAAATGTATTTTATTAAAATGGATTTTCACTCCTATTTTGAATTATAATAAACTGATAAATTCAAATTTCTCTGTTGAATGCCGAGAGGGCATACTAACTGAGTCTGCTCCGATGTCATTGAAATGAAAAATGCTCAATTGATTCTTTTTTATTTGACATTATATAAGGCTTTAATTATATGATCGCGAACACCATATAAGATTTCTATGAATTTCAAACCTTATCTATGTTTTACTTCTCTATTGTGACATTTGCCACTGTGATTTGTTAATTCAACTGATCCATTTCATTATTTTTTTTGAACATTTAAATGATTATCAAGTGACTGTTTAAACATAATATGATTTTGTTCAATAAATTACAACTTTCATAGTAGTATGTGATACAATGTTTTTGTTTACATTAGAAAATCGTTAAAATATTGCCAATAATATCATTTAAAATGTATAGGTCACAAGAGCGAAGCAATTTTCACTCATTGCCAATTAAAATAATTCCATAACATTGAATTCTTAAGAATGCCTAAAGAATAATTACTTGATTTAAACAATTTATACTAATTAGCTATGTATCTGAATCGAGGGCCTAAGTTTCAATCAAGATTGCACATTCTAGTCCTTTAATGTTAGTGATATTCATTGAAAGATGCGTAACAGAATCAATTAGATAAAACAAAAAGAATGAAATATGGGAACATTTGGAGTATAGTATTGATAATACGAACGCTTGATAGCACGATATTGCTTGATAGTACGAAATTTTTTGCCTCGCTACAATCGTTAATAAAAATATAAGAAAACAAGAAAAAATAAAATACGCACGTTTTTTGTATTACACAATACATATTTCATTTCAGTCTTCTCACAATAATTCTTTTTTTGTAAAATAATAGGTATGAATTTCATTTAGAAATTCAAATAGAAAAACAAAGTTGAAATATTTTTTTATCGTATGTGTGGTGTTTTTTCCTTGATCAATTTATTCCTCATTTCAAAGTATTGCGAGAAAACATATGGCACATCACAATTACAGTCAGCGTTCTTCCGCTTCTTTTCTGTTTCACAAACTGTACTAATCCAAAATTCTTTTTTTGGCTTTTGTTGTGTCACATTAACAAAGTTTGTAGATCGATTCAGAAATGAACATTGCCAGCTCAATTCGAAAAAATATAAAATTCAAAACAAAAACTAAGAAAGTCATCGCACATTAAATAAGACTTCTTCTGAATTACTTAATTTTATTTTTATTTTTTGATCAAAGCTATTTTTAAACGGAATTTTACAATCTGACACTTATAGAGCGTTCTTACATGTGTGGACCCGACAATGTGTGTGATCATCGATTTATTGCATATGGTGAACATTTTTCATTTAGTTAATCATTTGTGAACTGTTTCCTTCCAAACAGATGAGAATGGGATTAAAAACATCGTTTGACGAGAAAATAAAATAAACATAACTAAAGCAATCGTTAACACATTAACATTGAAAATAATTTTGCCACCAAACAGACTCGTTGAGTAAAGTTTTTGAAAATAACGACGATTTGAGAACAGTTGGTGATAAATTTTCTTCAAATGAACAGACGTTGGCACTATCATAACTTAAATTAATTAATTAAACACAATCTTAAGTGATTTTGAGGAGAAGAATTTGGACACCTGTCATTAGATTGGCTTTTCTGTTACACAAAAAATTGTATTACGAGATTAAAATTCCAAATTATTTGTTGAATAACAAAGATGAAATCTTTTTATTATTATCTATAACATTTTTTATCACTCACAACATAGGATTAAAATCAACCCTCTTTCAACACTTCGTAGATAAGAAAAAACATATTTTTTCTACACACAGAGAAGCAATATTTAAAACAGGAAAAGGAAAATGAAAATTGATCTATAATGAGAATTGACATTCCCTCGCTTTTGCTTATTTCTCTCATTTCCAGATTGAAATTTTGTTTTTGAATTTCCTTAAAATTAAAAGTAAGAATACTTAATGATATTTCTAGCGCACAATTTCGCGACTTTGCAGTCACAAAGTCAAGCTAAATAGGTAGTTAATGACGTAGATTAGTTTCATTTACTTTCAATTAAACATCGAACTAAACTTTTAAATATATATTATTGATATTGACCAGTTTAAGATATTTATTTTCATGTACGAAATCAAACATGATGTTTGAGCGTTGAATAAATACGCATAGAATCATCTAGACAATTAGCTTTATGATTAGTTATGATTATTGGAAAGAAATGCTTAAAATTGATAATGTTTAGAATACATTGGAATTATTTAGAATCGGAGAATGTTACTTTGATGATTTTTATTGTAAAATGTTGGCAATCAACGAAGTATCATAAAATAGAACCAAATTTTCATTTTTATTCTATTAACTGCTAATCCTTCAAATCATCCTGAATTATATTTGCTTCTTTTTGAATGATACATGAAATAATCTTATAATGAATTAAATTTTATGAATAAAGTTCGCACTTTTCCCCTAAAGACCAGGCGTCTACGATTCTTAACGCTCACTAACAAACATACTCGACTTATGAGTCAAAAAATAACACACATTCACAAACTAAAGCAATCAACTCAATAAAGACGAAACCCCGAGTGAGAGAGAAATAAGAAAGTTGAACTAAAATATATTCTCGAAGAAATTATTTTTAGAAGTAACTTTTATGCTCCATGGAAGCAGGCATATAAGATTTTATCTATCAACGATTTCATTCATTCAAACCGACACTACCGAAACCGCTACCGACACTATCCGAAACGAATAATATTTAATATTGGAAATGAAAAAAAAAGCATAGAAAAATATATTTTTAGGATCATTTCCAGAGTTTACGCAACTTTTTTATTTAACTTATTCCCCAGAAGAAAAAAAAATCAAATGTTTCATGGCCAAATGTTGGGATAGAAAATGAAAAACTAACGAGAGACGAATCGCAGTCGGTGGTTTTCAGACATTTCTGTATTAAACGAGTCAGAGAACTTTTATATGAAAGAAACCTAAAGAATTTAGGTAATACTTATTTATTCTAACAAACGTATTTAAAAGAAACTTTTATGTCGTTCCCCATTTTATTTGATTTTTGTGTTCATATTGGGATTGTTATAAAGGCATATAAATGCACGTTCAATTATTCAAAAATGTCAATCTATCAATGAACCAAGAAATGCACTTATCACTTACTTTGGAGCTGGCTCTCCTTCCGCCTCACATTCAATGACAAAAGGTTTCTCGCTGTCACCAAAAGAGGCTACTTGGAACAACATTTCTTCAGAAATCGGCTGCTTGATAATTCGTGGTGGCGAATGCACTGAGAAATATGAAGAAGAGAAATGATTAGAATTAAATAGAAAAAAAAAAAAATTGAAAGAGATCAAGCAAAATAAAATTTTATTCTGCAATTAAAGCAAATTCGAAAATTATATAAACTTACCAAGAGCATCAGAAGCCATCGCTAATGCAACGACTAATGTAAAACTTAGTCGCCACATGTTTTATTTTATCACTTTACAGATTAAACTATTTTCCACGTAGTATAATCAAGCAGGATCTTGTTGTAAAGAAAATCTGTGGGGACAAATGGAAAGATTATCTTATAAGTATTTATAAGAAAAATGAGAATAAATATTTTGTGATTATCTTTTAGTGATATGTTAATGGAAAAATGATTAAGTTCATAGATGTATTATTTTTATAGTTTGACAAAAACAGATAATAAGAATATAAAGATCATCTGAGAGAAAGAACTCTTTTAATGACCTTCCATTTTCGTCAGACTATCAAAAATCGTCATTATGCACATACATGTTTAGAAACAAAAATATATTTTAATGAAATTTCTTAAAATGTTGGATAGTTAAAGTATTATTAGCCTTGGTATAACTTTGTTTACATAATATTGTAATAGGCAGATAAAAGAGTTGAATTTGTTTAACACTGTTTAAAGCTTTAAAGGACTCTAAACAAACAATGTTAGGAAAATTAATCAATTTTATGACTTTTTAAGTATAAAATCTCGTTGTTTAAACGTTAAGATATGTATCAGTTACTTTAGTTTTTATTAATTTCTTTATTCCATTAACATTTAAATTTTGATAACGTTAAGCATGTATAAAACACATTATTTTTGTCATTTTTTCTATTGCGTGTCAAGTAGGTAGTTTACTAAATTTCATGAAAAAGCATGAAAAACTTCGAAACGATTATAAAGAATCGGAAGATGAATTTTTTTTCCTCCATTTCTTGAGACAAAGAGCCGGGTCCAACAAACATCAATCTAGAAACATATATCTTGTCATCTTCTTCACCCTCACTTTTAAAACTAAATAGTAAACATACAATGAGCGAGGGGAATTAAAGACATTGCTTTAACCAACTTTAACAGAACATGATTACTTACTAAACATAGCAACGATTCTAGGAATGACTTCATGCCAAAATTGTTGTAAATTCTTGAATGCGTTTTAAAATGAAGTTTATTTTACTATTATTACTGAAATTTGAGTCAAATTGTAGTCCGAAAATTGGACCAATCACACATTATTTGATAGACAATGTTGTTAGTCTATTACATTGAGGCCATCGAACTCATTACTTGATATTTGAGAATGATATCATATTCACGTGAACAATTTGAGAATGTTACGCTTTAGACATTAAAAGTTGTAATTTCAGATCATTGTGAATATTATCATACCTATCTCTATTTATTTTTATATAATTGAAATTTTGAAAGAAATTAAGCTTTTCTAATAACAAGCAATTTCCTCTAAATTTATGCACTTTTAATTAGCAACTTCAATGATAAGGAGATATTTATATCAAAGAAAAGTGAAAGACATCAAACACTTAAGGAAATAACCGAAGGGTAGTAAAAAGATTAATGTTGAAAATCCATAGAATGAGAGGTTATTGATTTTCTTTTATTTTCGTCTTTCGTTTTCTTTTGGAAAAACGTTCAAATTTTATTCAGAATAACAAAGAAATGTCCGACAGATGACAGAGAAATCAAAAATAAAAATATCTACTAATGACTAAAGCGAGAAAAGTGATGAAAGAAAAATTTTGTGATTTTTTTTCTAAACTTGTGCGATATTCTTCTTATACGTTGACTGACATTTATCACTTAAAAATGTTTACAATAAAGACAAAAAATAGAAATTGCGGAATAGAATTGTTATCTTGTATTATTTTGAAAGGTAAATCTTATGATAGCTTCTACGAGATCCATTGCTCTCAATTAACTGAATGACAGTATCAATGAAAGAAGTACTAAATCGAAAAACGAAAAATGAAAAGTCTCTGCCAAAGACCTACTCGATTATACCGCATCATAAAATAATTTAGAACTCAATGTTAAAAGAAAACGTGAATAAATTGTGAAGTCATCTTCATGATGTAATGGAATATAAGCATTGTTGCATTCATATAGCATATCTTTTTAATATCATAATTTTAATTTTGGATACTTTTAATAGATTTTTTTGCAGATTACGACATAAGCAATAAGCACACCGGTACAATATCAACTGTACTTAGATAAATGAGTATACTTTTATTTTCTTTGCTAAAGAATAAGCTCAGTGCCTTATTGGTTTTATATTAAAATTGTTAAACATTTTCAAATCTATTTTTTAAAACTATTTTTAATTTCTTTAAAATTTCCTATTTCTGTCTTAAATTCTTGTCAAGCAACTGCTTTCATTGATTTCCATGAAATAACTAATTTGTATTTCTCTACTACTACAGGTAAACGTATTTCCTGTCTGGTGCCATGCCATGCGAAGGGTAAATAGCGAAAAAATCAATAAAACGACTTCCTTTTTTTCCGTTCGTTTTTTTTGTGATTCATAGAAATTTAAGGATAAATTCAAATAAAATGAATAATATTTATTATTTAAACTTTTCTTTTACTTAAGTAAATGCTTATGATTATCACGATGGATTAATTTGACCAATATAAAAGTAATGAGCTCATTTTTTAATAATTCATAATAATGTTGTTACATATCTATGTAGGTATCAATAAATATAAATTAAAGCATTGATTAATAATTAATCGATTGTTATCAATTTGTTTTTCATGCTCTTAGTTCACGCCAAACTTATGCGCTATCCTTACTTAGTGCCCAAGACAGAAATTTAAGGAAGCGTTACTTCATGTTTACAATGTCATGCCGAATGAGCAAGAAAGTTGAGTAAAGAATGAGAACGAAGAGATGTTTCAAATGTTTCTGTTTATTAATATGGTTTAACATTCAAAAATAGATAGTGACTCAAACATGACTTCATCTAGAAACCATAAAAAAGCATTATGGGTATATTTTAAGCGTGCACAATATATAAGAAGCGAGATAATTATGATGCAATTGTATGTCGCGAGACTCATTCAAATATCGTGAAGAATGAGCAAAAGTAGCAAATTTTATTTTACTTTTTCTTCTTTCCTTGAGCGAGCACATACAAATCAATGTGGACCAACATGAGATCACCGCTTGCTCACGGGTGAGTATTTTTAGACGGTTTTATTTTATATGAAGCGAATAATGTTGTTTTTGGATGATCAAGATGAGATTTTGTTTTTATTCTCTTTGCTGAATTTGCAAGTGAGTAAATCAATTTAATTTTTCGATTGTAAAATTATTTTTGACAACAAATAAACACTCAATTGCTAATAAACAGTGATCAACAGATTTCTCGATAAAATATCTAATTGCCGTTCACATTTAATTAGAAGTTTCCAGATGCTCACCTACTCATGCAATCCAAATTTCGGTTTTTAAAATGTTGAATTTCTTTAATCACAAACCAAACTTGTCAGTTTCGTTTACTTCTCTTTCACACACAGGATTCAACAATAAACACCGAAAACTAAAAATAAAAAAAAATAAACCTTTTTTTCACGATTCGCGCACACAATTCTTCTTGTTATACATTTATTGGAAATAGTTTTGCTTCTTTTTTTTTCGAAAACCAAAGGAAAAAATTACTGTATAAGAGGAAAACTATATTCCATACAAATATTTTCGATTAATTTGCTTTTTTTTTACACTTTCTTATTGCAATTTACTAGCTTTAGAATGATAAGAAAAAACCACTTTTTAGGTTGCTGTTAATTCTTGGGGCGCGGTGGTTTCTCTTTTCTCTCTCACTTTTTATTGCTCAAAAAACAAGCTTCTTATAATTAAACGAAACAGACTTCAAAATAAATATATGAATATTGATTATTGATAATAAGAGAATCATGCACAATATTAAAAATGAATATTCCTTCAGAATGGCGGATTTTCCACAAGTATAAAATTTTACAACACAGCTACTACCTTTTTCCGTCGAAGATCGAAACTCGAATGCGAAGGAAAATTTTCTACGATTCAGAATGTCTCTCCCGGAGTATACTGATTCCTCTCTTGGATTTTACTGATTCCTCTTTCGTTATTTGGTTTATGGTGATCGGTCGCTTCAAATTTAAAAAAAATGCCGTTAAAAAACGAGTTGTTTCATATCTATCATCTATGATGGGATAATAACAAGATTGTTACTTCGCATAAAAGTGGGCATATCATAAAATAAAATATATTTGTTAATTACATAGCTATTATAACACGACTGTTTTTTCAAATATTTTCGTCTGTTTTACAGAGTTCGATGGATAAAAGATGTAGGATTATAAAATATTTAGTGAAAAAAAAAATTAGTGGTTATCGATAACGATTTTGATCGAACCTTTCTATAAAAGCAGACAATTTAAACTTCAGCCTTCAGTTGACGTTCTGAAATCAAACTGTTTTAAAAGATGATTAAGTCTCTTGTGCTTCTATTGGTTTGTACTTTAGTTCAATCGCAAACAATTGGACCTGGAGTGCCTGATAGCAGATGCCCTCCTGGAACACCAAATCCGCCACTTCATTTATCTCATCCGTATTTTTGTGACGTTTTCTTCACTTGCGTTGGTGGATTAGCTTTTCCACAACGGTGCCCATATGGTATAAAAATAAAGAATTGAAACCCATTTTTCTTTATTTAAACAAATTTTTCTATAGGACAACATTTTAGCGTGCAAAAAAGTAGATGTGACTGGCCTGAGTAATATTTAGATGATAGAATTTTACACTTTTAACTATCACTTTCGAAACATATAAAAAAACATTTATTTATTTTTTATAAGAGTTGCAAATTGTGGAGGAAGCTCTCCACCCGGAATTTGTCCTCCTGGTGACCCAAGACCACCTGTTTTCCTCCCTCATGAGTACGATTGTGGACGATTCTATCAATGGTAAATCTGTATTTTAAATTAGAAGCTATAAAATATTACCTGTATATCTAATATGGATCATTTTTCTCAAAATATGAAAAGTGTTTGGGGAGAACCAATGGAAATAAATTGTCCACCTGGAATGCATTGGAATATAATAGATAGTGTGTGCGATTGGCCAGAGTAAGAGTCATATCTTTCTATTCATGCGATAAATAACTTGAATCATTTTATGGCAGACGGGCAAATTGTAATTTAACTACTACACGATATTGGACAACAACCTCAAGACGTACTACATCGACAAGAAGAAGATCAGTTTAAAGATCCAAAAATGATTTTCATAAAATAACTGAAGTATTTAAATATCAAATTTAATGTACTCGATCATTTAATATTTTTGTAAATAAATCTTATCATATTATGATTTTTTTACAATAATACTTAACAGAAAATCAATCAAAATTTTTACTTATCTACATCAGATATCGAAATTACCTATAACTTTATTCCTTATCTTTATTATATTTTAAATATAAAGTTTTGATGAAAAGAATAAAAGACGTCAAAGGAATGGTAAATGAACAAAATAATGATATTTAATCCAATGATAAGAAATAAAGGTATTATGGGCTACCGCAAATACCGGAAAACCTATCAATATAAACGCTTTTTATCTTATTTTTACTTATCCAAGCAATGGAAATTTTTCTAGCATCTAATATTAACTCATGCTTACAACTGATCATGCTAACAACATTATGTTGGAGAATATCTAAATACTGAATTTATTTTTGTATTTTGTATAACTTTTTCATTTATTGTTATAAATTTAGTGTCTTTATCTATTAAACCTTTTAAAAAATCATAACACACAATTCAATAAATAGGTACTTGATAAAATTCTATAAGTACAAAACGACAATAACAAAAAGTTTTCTACAGTACAATGAAAACAAAATCATAGATTTTTGTCTCTTTTTGAAAATATAACGCAAAGTGTATGAGATTCTAACGACTAAATTTAGTTTGAATTTATATTTTGTTTTCAACTCTCGAAATGTAACTAAACGTACTCATTCAATTCTAAGGTAGTACCTACATTAATTGTTCAATATTTTGTTATAAATAACTGTATACTTATATCCATTACACGCAGTGTGTTAGAAGAATAATGCGATGATTTTTTATTCTAAAATATTCAAGTGATATTAATTAATTTACTACAAAAAACCAGAAGATTTCATAATAAATCATAAGGATGATGATTTTTCTAATATTCCTTCTTTTATTCAACCCTTCAATTAATCGTTCGGGGGCGTATTTTCATTCTCCAGACGACACATCAGATATTAAAATAAAACAGTGTTTCTGTGAGGTAAGAAAATAGCAGAGTTCATTCATTATTTACAATTTTTTAAGCAGTCATCGCGAAGTTAAAAAAAAATTTTTTTTCGATTGGAACACGTAAACACAACAAAAGTTTTTTCATATATAGATACGTGCTTTTACATTAATTTTTCTTTCCTACCTTGTTGAATGATTTTATCTATTGTATCTACATAATACTAAAAACATTACATTTACTTTATCACGCTAGCTAAAAGGAACGATCGATGATTGTAGTTGCAACGTTGACACTGTCGATTTTTATAATAATGTCAAAATTTACCCACGACTTAAAAGTTTATTAACGAACAACTATTTTCGCTTCTACAAAACAAATCTTCATAATGAATGTCCCTTTTGGAAAGATGTTGAGTTTCAATGCGCTATGAAGTTTTGTCATGTGAAGCCTTGCAAGGAGCAGGATATTCCATTGGGGCTTAAAGGCGAGGAACCTCACCTAAAATACATAAAAGAGACTCAAACAATAGATTGTAGCGAAGATCTTAACAAAGAGCTTGGATTTTTAAATAAATCTATTAGTGAGAAAGTTCACAAAGAGCTGAAACGTTGGTCAGAGCACGACGATGCACAAGATAATTTTTGTATCCTTGACGATCATCATGAAGGAGCTGAATATGTGGATTTACTTTTAAATCCTGAAAGTATGTCAATTTTTATTTTAGAATCATTTTGTTAATTTTTAATTCATGATTTAGGATTTACCGGATATCAAGGCAAATCTGCTCATCGGATTTGGGAAACAATTTACTTAGAAAACTGCTTTAAACTTCAAGACTCAAAAAGTCGTTCATCATTCACATCGCTAATAGACAGTCATTCACTTCGCGATGTTTGTTTGGAAGAACGAGTTTTTTATCGAATGGTTTCAGGACTTCACACAAGTATCAATATTCATTTATGCGCCAATTACCTTCAACCTGAGAAAAATTCTCTCGAGTTTGCATCTCCAAACGGCGTTTGGGGGCCAAATTTAAAAGAATTTAAAAGACGATTCAGTCCCGAAACAACAGAAGGACAAGGTGACCATTGGCTTAGGAATCTTTATTTCGCTTACATAGTAGAACTTCGAGCGATTGCAAAAGTTGCACAATTACTAAGAAATGAAGAATATTACACAGGATTCGACAATGAAGACAAAGAAGTTCAACTGGCTGTGAATGATCTTCTAAATGTAATCGAATCATTTCCATCGCATTTCGATGAAAGCATCATGTTTAGTGGAGATTCAAGCAAGATGAAGTTTGAATTTCGTGAGAAATTTCTGAATATATCAAGAATTATGGATTGTGTAGGTTGTGATAAATGCCGGCTATGGGGTAAACTTCAAACACAAGGTATGGGAACTGCTTTAAAGATACTTTTTTCTGGAAAATTTGAATACGACGTTGATCGTAGCGGATTCTATGTTATAAACGGGACCAAGAAGCAACAATTCAAACTTCAAAGAACAGAAATTGTTTCGCTTTTTAATGCATTCGGCAGGTAAGTTTAATGAATTAATAAATTTGTGATGATTTTGTAACTGACTCAATATTTTTACAGACTTTCAAACAGCATTCATTCGCTAGAATTATTCAGAAATCAACTGAGATGAAGGATAAGCAATGATTAATGAATGGAAATACTATGAATGAAATTCTTCATAATTATTGCGAACAAAAAATGTGAAAACATGAAATTGAATTTGTGTTGAACTTCTGATTTAAAAGATACCTAACTGATTTTTTATGTCTTTCAATTTGATTAAATTGTCGTCCAATTAAATAATTGCAGATATATTTATTGTCTACTGGGTTCCTTTAGTCAACTTCTTACCAAATTCCAACCATTGCACTTAATCATCATTGATATAACTCCATATTTACTTATGCTTTTTCATTCGTTGCTTTAAGAATAGAGCGAAAGACATCACATTAAATAATTAATTTATTATTGATAAATATACTTGTAATGAAATCATGTTATCTATGTGTTAATGTCAATTAAATAAAGAAAGATAACATCAGTGTTTGAAAAAAAAACAAAAATTGTTCATCTAAGTTTTAAAAAAATGCTGAATATTTATTATCTGAAAAATTTTTTTAGATTGGATGAAAATAAAATAATAGAAACTCAAGCAAAAAAGAATTCTTTTTATTATCATTAGATTTCAATTTACATTGTATCTACCTATTTCAAAATAACATTCTTATATTGTTCAAATACAATTACAGTGAACTCCCGTTATAATTAACTCTGAAGGGACCGAGAAAATGGTAATTATAACGAGAGAAAAATTATAACGAGAGAATATTGTTCCCGTTTTTTTTCGAAATGATTTTCGAAACGGTAATTATAACGAGAGAAGAGTTATAACAAGAGTTAATTATAACGAGAGTCCACTGTAATATCCTACAAAAGGACAATTTTCATATTTATTTTTTATTTAGTGCATATTGGATTTTAAAGGTTTAATTTTACTTATAAATATGTGTTTCTCATGAATTAGATATATAATAAACTTGTGATCTAGAGTTGATTTAATTACATTCTTCAAAAGAAGACTAATGTGAATAGATATAAATTGTTATCAAATCATAATTTATAATAATTAGTTAAGGTAATAAGGAGAAGTCTTTAAAGCTTATTGATGGATTCTTCAGATACGCAATAGTCGATTTTCCATGAATCGATTTTCCTGGTGATTTGTTTAAGATTGGAAGAGTAATAATCGTGATAAATATTTATTCAGAAAATATTGTACGAAAGGAAAACAAAACAAACGAGAGTGCTCTTAAAAGTTTTATAAACTACCTAGTTAGGTGTTAAATTTTGTCTTTAACTAAATATTATTTTATATTCATATAATTTGTGCTCATATAATAAAAAAAACAGCATCTTAGAGAAGCGTTGGTAAACTGACTTACATACATAAAAACAACATAAGCATTAAGCGTATAATAAAAAGCTTTGTAACTGTTTTTAATTGTTTAATTTCAGAGAGTGTATTACTTAATTACATTATTTACAAAGCTGATAAAAGCATAACATTTGCAAACTTATCAACTACTCTTTGTAGGACTGCGATTTTATCTATTTTTCCTAAATTTTCTTTCTGATTTCAAGGAAGATTTATTATTTTAATTCATTAAATGAAATATCATTAAGAGAGAAAGACTGTTAAATTTATTGCATGCAGCCTTAGGAGGATGGACATAATCGACTATTTTATCGCCAAAAATCAAGTGTACGAACGTTCAGGAAGAGGAAAAAATTACAAGAAGACTTCATTCTTTATCAATTGCAATTAAACTAAATTTAGTACTCGTCATCCGCTTCTTCTTCGTCACTGCAATTTACTAAAAGTTTGCTATAAAATGGCCAAAAAAAAATGATAAAGAAAGAAAAAGTAAAAGAAAACGTAAATCACCAACAACGAAACAGTTTAGGACATTGGTTTGTATAGGAGTGTTTTGTATTTATGATGAATGAAATCATAAAATTTTTTGAAAATAACATAGAATCCTTCAATGGTCATCATATTTGAGTAATAATTCAATGCAATTCATTTAAAGTTTTTTTGACATAATTTTTTTGCGTATCGGGTTTAAATTATAAATAGGTATATTTCAGTGAAAATTGTATTGTCTCGAAGTGTTTTTATTGTAAAAATATAGAAAGCAACAAAATAGTGAATATTTATTTGCATGAGAAAATGTTTTCAATCGGGAAATTCTTCAATAAATATAAAGCTATACTTACTTCTCCTTGGCTGTTGGGAATTCTGCATAAACCCTCGGATTCTTATGACATGCTTTGTCACAACAAGGGCAATACCAATAAGATAAAACGCCAATGCTTACAGCAAAAAGCACGTTGGGAATGATTATTGATAATATTAAATGTTTTAAGTTGTCATCCCATGAATACCTGGCTACAACAATTTGATTAAAGGCTCGACTATAATAGCATGGAAAAGTTTTAATACGAGCATTCTCGTAGCTGTTCATTTAAATAGAATTTATCAATTAAAAAAGAGTTTAGGAAATTTTTCAATTCTCTCACCCAAATTCTTTAGCAAAAATACTGCAATTTACACTCGGTGGATATCCACAACCTTCTGTATTAATAAGAAATTTAGTATCAGAAACATCCCAATCCATGAGCTCAATATCAACAGGAGCTTTTAACCAATCTTTATAGGGAATTTTTGAGTAATTAACTAAAAGCTGATGACATTTTGTTTGCGCTGTTGTGCAACCTTCAAATTATGAATTAATTAATTTCAATACAAATTCTATTCTATTCGGTATTCCATGAATTACCTTCTCGACAGCTGCTCCAAGTGCAGTTTTTAATTCCTTCACTGTAAGTATGATCACTAACAGTACATGTGACAGGTTCTGATGAAATTTTTATTATATAAATTATCGTTTCCTGACATTTGTTGAATGTTCAATATTTAACTGACCTGGATCAAAATCTGCAGTTATTGCACTAATTGCTGGATCAATAACAAAAGGAACAGCAAAAAGAAAAGCAAATACTGAAAGGATTGCTGTTGTGCCTAAGAATTATACAGATATATTAAAAATAGGAAATTTAAAAAGATCCACTTTTCCTACCTAAGCATAGAGACGTATAAAACTTAGCTTTCTCCAAATATGCTGCAATTATTTCATCACGTGTTAAGGATCTTTCAGTTGGTACAACTAAATGCGACTTTTTTGAGCTTGATGTTGATTTCTGTGAGCATTGACTTGATGTGCCTAAGCTTATTTTACTATTAGATAAACTTGGTGCGGCTGACAAAGTGCTCGAGTTCGTTTTATAATCATCTAAATTTTTCATTGTATTTCGCTAGAAAATTTCACCGTTTGTTATCTTTTTCTCTTCACTTTCACTTATGTATTATCTATGATAATTATTATTTTTATTGTATCGTCTTCAAATTTGAAATCTCTTTTTTTTATCAATTTGAATATTTTTGGTTGAGTTGCTAAATTTTGATATTTCTTATACGCATTCCATCTTTTTTCTTTCTTTAAATGTTAAATATAGTTTTTATAATGATGCCGGCGGAAGTCAATGTTTTTCATTCTTAATATTTTAAATCATAATTTATATAATATTAAAACCAAAATGAATTATTACAATACAGTATCGTATATTTCTATGCTCGATAAATGAATTTTCCATTTCCTTTACATGGTGTCACCAACGTAACTAGGTACATATCTTTTATGCCTAATCGAAATGCAAAATTCAATTATTTAACAGTTTCCAACTGTATTCATTTGCTTCCTACCCGGATACAGAAGATGAAAAATCTCTTTGATATTTAGCTTGAAAAACTTGAAATATTTCATAGATGTGTTGTGAGTTTTAGGAGACTTTAGGTTTTTCTTGACAATTTTTTTGTATTTTTTTATAAAATTTGAAGAAACTTGTATGAAGCATCTTTGATGTATTTGCTTTAGAAACGAAAATAATTGTCAGGATGACAGATTAGAAGTTCTCACTTTCTCTTTTTTAGAAAGAAATTTATTGTAGCGAAAAAACACCAGGCTGATGAGTCGGACTGCCGCCTTGTGGATCTTGCAGAAGTGGAATGCCTGAAATTAATATTAAAACTTAGAAATTGTTAAAAAAAGAACCTTATTTACTAACGTGATGGATCTCAAAGAGCATCTCTGCTATCAGCATGTGCATTGTGTCCCATGTTTGGCTGACCAGTTTCAGCTGTCGTTAGACATTTGAATCTCATTTTAGAGTCATCACCAACAACCACTGATCTTTGACATAGAACTAGAGTCGTACATGATACGACAAGAAGAACAGTCGGCAGCAAGAAGGCAAACATAAATTGATTATACTCGGTTTCAAGATCAAAGCGTACCACTGCATAATCAGTTAAAAGCTGAGAATAAAAACAAGGAAAACGAGCACGAGCATTATGATCTGAACCATCTTTAGCATATACTCTGAAGAATTCTTTACACTCATCTCGTAATGTATTCACGCAACCTTCTAGGTTAATCATCAACTTTGAATCATTAGAAATCGTCATGTCAGATTCAAGTGGTGCAATTTGAGGAATCAAGTTTGCTTCAGCATAATGTAAGTAAGAGAGATAAGTAAAATTTGTATGATCACCGAGAGTTCTTGATGTCAAAACAGACCCATTGATACAATCAACTGCTTCTAAGCCTTCTGGTGTATTTCTAACTTGATAGCATGATGCCATCAAAATATTAGAATCTGTCTCATTCCAGACTTCAGTTCTTGTCGTAAGATTATAAGCAACTGCACATCTCGACAGATGAACTCGATCTCCACTTAATATAATCACATTTTTATTGCGAGTTGGAATATCAAGACATCGACGATCACAGTTATAAGGAGCCTTGATCTTTTCGCAAGCACCTCGGTTACAATAAAACATTCCATGAACCTTAAACGTGATGGGGTTTTTTAAGAGCTTTGAAAATTTTAACTTTAACTTTGAATGACTCACCTCCATACATGTTACCTTCCCACGTCTTCCCGAACATTTAATCACCGGGTCAGTATTTCGAAATTCGCATTCAAAAGCGTCTGTTATGTTGTGACAAACACCTTTCGTACAATTAAAAATCCCCGTAAGATTTTTACAGTCATCTTTAATACAAGTGAAGTTCTTTGCCGTTTCAATATCAATTCCATAACACGTTTTATTCGCTGAATTTGTACAATTTCCAAAAAGGAGCGAACTACCGTTTCGACGAAGATTGACAAATATCTGAAGACATGCGCCCGTTCCCTTCGATAAGCACCACTCCCCACATGAACCCCAATCGCAACTTTCTTTGAGTACTGCCCTCGTTGTGGTACACATGACGGGTGTTTCAACAATTTCAGAGCTAAATGCCTTGTGTGCGGGCATATAAACAGCCACGGTTAGATATACAATGGCTACACATGAGAGCACCAAAGTCATTTGACAAATGCAAATCGTCCCGCATATTCTACCATCTTGAGGTGGGATGATCAAATCTTCTTCAGCAACTTGCTTTTTCTTTCCCATTATCTAATATCAATATAGGATTTACGTTGTCTTTTTTCAAATGTGTATTTATTTGTTTTGGTTAAATTTAAAAAAATTGTGATTTGGATGGATTTGTATTTCCAATTGTAACCTTTAAAATATTGTCATTTTTATTCACTGATTCATGAGAAATGTCAGACAGATGTCAACGTCAATCATGAATAAGCAAAGAAAATTTCTCCATTAATTTTTAACGGCTCTTTTTGATGGAAAGAAAAAATAATCCTTATTAAATGTTATTTTTTTCTTAAAGATTTTTATTATTTAATTTATAAGCAGTTCGTTGGAATTTAATTTACATATAAGCAGCTCTTTTTGATGATTTATGTATAAAAATATGGATGAACTTTCTAACGAAAATAAAAATTTCCCGTCGAACTTTCTCTCAGCATGGAAACACGAACATGAGAAGAGAAAAATCGATTTTCATTTTGTTCTAAATATGGCAATGCAGTATTTTTTTTCATTTTTTAAAGCATTTGTTAACTATTGATTTTTCTTTTTGAAACACTTTCCTTACAAAATAAAAGAAAGTTGATAAAATTTAAAAAAAGAATAACTAATTTTGAATGAATACTCTCGAAATACAGGAATGTTCTCCCCAGAATTCAGAAATTAGAATTTACAAAAACACCTAAGCGATCGATTTGAGTGAAAAATTTTCACTCCACTTTCTCACAACTTTATCTCAATATTCCAAGTTTCGCTAAGATTTTTCTCAATATTTCTCACAAATTTTCATTGGTTTAGTTACATTTGTAAAATTCAAATTCAATTTTTATTTTTTTTTCAATTTCAACCGTAATTTTTTAATATTCTGCTGATTACCACGTCGCTATTTCAATTGAGCTTTTATTGTAGTTGAGAAACTTTTTTCAATTTCATCCTCTTCAAACATGCGCAATTGAATGTAAACAAAACAAGCTTTCGTTAAATATCCACGTGTTAGTAGTTAATGAAAGCTTTTTTATGAGTATCAAGAAACATGTTGCAATATATTTTAAAGCTTTCGATTTGCGGTTAAATGTATAATGAACTTTTTTATCACATAATATTAATAAACACATAATAAATAGATAATAGTTAAAGATAAGTACTTATCACTTTTTTTTGTTATTATTGAAATATTTTATTTCTGAACAAAATCTTGACATTAAAAATGCTACAAAAATTCATTTCATATGTTATTACATATGACTTCTAGAGACCATTAATGATGTTATTGATAAGTTCTCTGAAATGAGCTATCCTTACAAACAATGATGGTATATTATGAATGATTCCACTGCATGGACTTGTTATAGCCATTCCAACTAAATATTCTTCACCGCGACTCTCAACTGAGAATGCACTTCCACTGTCATCTGCACAAAAGTCACTACGATTTAACAAGTCAGAAGCGCAGAAATATGCGGTGCCATCACGATCAGGGTAACTTGTTAAACAGTCTCCAGAAGAAACAATTCGCAAAAATGCAGCGTGAAGATTATTCCTCTGAGTTGGAACCTCACCAAATCCAAGAACCATCCCTTGTTCATTCAACATTCCTAATACAGAATCATTTGGAATAATTTTAATGCTCTGTACTGCATGAGAAAAGACTAATGGGGTCAAGAGTTGAATGATTGCTGGTCCATCTGGATGGTTTGAAATTCTAAGCACGGTTGTAGCTAAAAATTCTTGCTGCGAAAATCTGATTGAAGATCCAACATACACTCGAATATCGAAGGAAATGCCGAAAAATGCGCCTGTTGTCAACACAAAACGATCCGCAATTATTGAACCTGCCACTGTATGAAGTATATTTTGATCGCCTTCACTCAAACGATACACGACTCTTGCGTAATAGGGCTTATGTCGCGTCAATGAACCATTTAAAATTGCATCAGTTGAAGAAACCAAAATCAAAATAGAAGCAACAATAATTCCTATGACTTTCATTTTCCTTTTTTTATCGTGCTCAATATCCTACTACTCAAACGTAAATGGATTTTTCATCAAATTTCACTACAATTTCCATCCAATAATTAAAAACTGACTGATTTTTGTATCTGATAATTTCTATCAGAAAATCCTTTTTTAATTGTAATGAAGATAAGTTCGTAATCTTATCAGTTCCGACATATCTATATTATGACTCATTTTATTTAATAATTATAACTTATATACGTTACTAACTACATACATATATCTTACAACTTAAATAAATATTTTTTCATTACTCAAGTTATCCATTTCTTTCACAAATATTACCATATGAAAATCGTACATGTTATTGTATAATTAAAGGAGATCAAATAAATTATTGCTGGCCATGTTGGTCTCATCATAAACTGTTGCTATCAATCTTCTAGAGTGTTCAAGCTGAAGTTGAGGTGTCACAAGCCCTAGATGAATTGTTAGAAGCTCAAAACATTTAATTTTGTTGACTGCGTTATTCATTTTAGGGAAAAAAGTTTCAATAAGGGATCTGCGAATATTATATGATTTGTGAATTTAATTAATTTGAATTGATTGGTTACTTACTGATAATAATTATGAGTTAACATTCCAGGAACAAGAGTAGATTTTGTAGCAACGACACCATTGTGATCCTTCGGCTTTAAGATTTGTCCATTTGAATCTTCAAACCAAAGAGCATAGGAGTAATTAAATCCAAAATCTTTCCAAATTACTGTCGTATGTCCACTTTTTAAATAATTCCTCGATGCCTCAATCATATTCCACACTTTTCTTTTGATTTGACTAGAAGTTTCTTTAGCTGTGACTTCCACATCGGGAGTAAAACAAGTTCCTCGTTGCCGATCAATAAAAATAAAATGAACAAGACCTGCAAACTCTTCGAGATAAGACTTCATTATAGAATTATTCTTCAATTTGGAATCCAGAAAGTCGAAATGAATCGAAATTTTTTTAGTGACTAAAGATGAAATGTTGAGGAGAATCTTTTCAAAATCCGGTGATGGTTTTTTGACGCCTTCGATTATGAAAAAAAACTGAAAATGTTGAAATACAATTGTTCAATTATGGAAAATCAAGTGATTCAGCTATATTTGTATCAAAACTCACCTTGTAAATTTCTCTTGCAGCTTCCACAAAATATGGAAAATATGATTCAACTTTCACCAATTGACTTTTGTCCATAATTTTCAACATCTCAACATATTTCTTTCTTAAACTTTCATACTTGTTTTGAAAATTTTTGAAACATTCGTCAAACTCAAAACTGCTTTGTTTGATTTTCTTTCCAACATCGATGATATTCTTCACAGATTTGTCGAGTTTTTCTGTTTCAATAACAAGATTATCCATATCAGCTTGTGACTGCAAGATTTTTAATTTATTCAATTGTTGAAAGCACTCGTAAAGGTTTGAGGAAATTATCGAGTTTCCAATTTCGGAAAGTAGAAATAGTGTAATCTCTGAAGTGATAGAAATTCGATGGACCAAATGAGGAATGCAACTGTTGTTAGTGCCACGAAAAAACAAAGTGTACGATTCGATTTTCTCCGACATTTCAACAGTCTGAAGCAAAATATTCAAAATTAGTATATCAGATGGGTTCAATTGTTGTGAAGTTCTGGCCGAAAACAGTGACAAAAACTTCGTACCAACGAATATAATTGCGTGACTTCTCTGAGACTGTGGGTCTTGTTTCAGTTTTTCAAGAGCAAGTTCCAAAGAATTGACTATATTGTTCTTTATATCGTTGTTTACTGTCAACTGTTCAATTACTTCAAGACAAATATCTTGTTTACTCTCATATAATTGGCTCCAAGTAGTGATAAGCTTAATTAACATTTCCGATCTTTTGTTATCAGTTTTGAGTTGAAAAATTGCAGGACCAAGAAGGTATCGTACAAATGTTATGAAAACTCCTTGCAATCTTTGAATGAATTCGATGTTTTTCGTATCATTTATAGTTATCAAAAGGAACCCAAAATACTCATCAAAAACCATGTTGAAGCCATGTTGACAATTTACATAATTAAAGGAATTATCAAATTGAATTAACATAAATCTCAAGTTCGCCAGCAATGGGTTGAAAATGTGAATTATAGCATCTGAAGTCAATAAATTACTCTCTGGATCCACCACACCCATATTGTTAGCAATATTTATCAGTTTATCTCTCATTGCTTCGTTTGTTAATTTAAAAACCAAATCATTTGATAAATCAAATATGAAAAATCCTTCCATGATTATTATTTCCTTTTCAGCATTCAAAATGTTGTTTGTGACTCAAATGTTGTTTCAGAATTCCAGAAAAGCAGATAATTTCTAAAATATAGAAGTCAATGTTTAGCAATAGATAGATCTGTTAAACTTTATATTCCATTAATTTATAAATATTTTACAATGAGGTTTATTCTTATTATGATAAGAAAGAACATATATTTATATTACCTATATCTACCGATATATTCATATATCGGTACACGCAAAGCTACCTAGAGTGCAAATATATTATAATACCCAATAAATTCCCCCACTAAAGTGGGCATTTTAATGTGGGTCATCTTCGGAAATTGAAATTTCCGACATTTGTAGGGTTTTTATGACATAAAATAGCTGTTGTATTGCCTCTAAATATAAGGATTTATATATATTTGCGACATCTACAGAGTAACTTCGAAAGTTTATCTTCAGATGCGAGAATTCATAAAAACGTTCGGACGTAATTTTTTTATTTCGTGAAATATTTTTTAAATATTAAAAAAATATTAAGTATTTTAATTGTGAAGTTCTAAAAAAATAGTTAAATAAGCAAAATTAAATACAAAAATAATGAAAAAAACATAAGGGTTTGATAAAAGGAAGGCATAAGGCTTGTGAATTGTTGTTGAAAATAAAAAATGCCTAAAAGTTTAAATAAAAATGAAAATTTACCATTACCATATAATTGGGAAGTAAGACAGGATTACGACGGTAAAACCTACTACATAGACCATACTAGAAAAATAACAACATGGATTGATCCCCGCGATAGGTAAATAGACCCTTCACGAATGTTTCAGTACAATTTCCAGAAAAAAAATCATTTGTTATTAATTCGTTCAAAAATGCAAGTGAAATAAAGTGATGTGTTTAAAATTTATCATTATTAAATATCGGACGTGAGTGTGACCGAATATTTTCGAGAAAATATTTCTCTAGATACATAATAAAGGTCAATAAAAAATATAGTCGCGCTTAGGTCGAATTCTTTCGAATAGGTGGCGCTTTAGTCAGACTTCGTATGTATTGGAAGTGATCGTAAGCATGTGTTGGCATTTCATTCCACACACCAAAGTTTTTATGAAATTGAAAGAAAAGAAAAAAAAATTGACTTGATCATCAAACTAGATTAAACGCTTTGAGTTTTTGTTAACGATTAATTTGTTTAAAACTCTCCTCATGAGTTCAACCAGTCGAATTTAATAGTACCTAGGTAGAAAGAAAAAAAGGAATAATTCTTAAAGAGTGCATTAGAATGAAAATTAATTCCAATTATTATTAATATTAGATTAACATCAAGTAAAATGAGACATTTTGTTGTAAATCAAGTGTTTTCCTAGTTTCTTTTCTCCTTTAATCATCTTCTGTTCTTATTTCGAATGCAATACTTTTAACTTCTTGAAGTGCATCACTGTCAGAGAGAATGAATATTTTGAGCCAAACAACAAGAAAAAAATTTTTGTTTTATGGCAATTTTACTTAAAATTATAAAGTGTAGCAGAAGGAAGAAGGCATTGGAATTTCTGGTTATTAGAAAATGATTTATTTTTAGCATTCGGAGATTTATATATTAAACAGTTTTTTTTTTGGTTTGAACTATATTATTCACACGGACATAAGATGAAGAAAAATGCGGTGGGGAATGTTGTGCTTGAGAATGAAAAAATGAAATAATCTTTACTAGAATAAAATATGACATTCTTGCCAATTATTTGGTGCACGGAAATTTTTGCTTGCTTTGCAGATAAATGATGAGCAAGTAGATCGAAATTGATTCAAGAATTTAAATTAAACTTGCTTAAGTCGAATCAAAGAAATAAAACGAAGAAATAATGCTTCAGAAGCGGCCATAATGTATGTATAAAAAAAAAAGAATTGACGTTCCGTAAGAAAACGAATAAAATGTGAGATGAACATCGAAACGTAAACAGTTTTGGTCCGAGGCACTTATTGATTTTTTTCCTTTTATGAGAAAACATCGTTACAGTTTTCCTTACCAAACGTGAAGTAAATCAAGCTCTTGTTAACTATGAGAATATGTATAATGTAAAATGTTGTTGTAAACCAAGCTAAGATTCTAATTATATTTTTATTTTTATTTCGTATTGCTTTAGAAATTATTAAATTAGCATTAAAGCATTGCAATGCATTGATTAAATTGTCTTTGACGTCATAATATTTTAAAACTCTTTTTCATTTTTTATTTCCCATTTCATTTTGATGACCTATTGATTGCCAGTTCTGCAATTTGATGCAATTACCGTATCACTGTTAAAGTAGAAGCTCTAGTTATGAGACCATGAAAGTTACCAGAAAACAAAATAAAAAATATTAATATTTTAATATTTTACATGCTCAATGGATGAAAATAAAATGTAAACAGCGAATTCCAATCGTAATGAAATGTTACATTTATATTTTGTAAAATAAGAAGAAAAAGAAGTGCTTTTTTCTTCTTTCTAGGAGAAATGAATGCATTATGTAATTTTAATTACACACTAAAGCGACATTAAAATATATACAACTTATTTTCAGACCTGCCTGCAAACAAGTCACACAATTCACATTCCAATGCTTCATTCTCTCGATTTTTGTACTCGCAACGATACGCTCTCCTCATCACATTTCCATTTTTTATTCACTTGTTTTCGAAATCAACAATTGCTCTGTACGTTCTCTTGAATGCTTGCTTGCTTGCTTACTTATCGTTTGTTCGTAGCTTCAACTCACAAAAATGTATTTAATGCAACGTTAAAAATGGTTTTATAAGTATTGTTTTTATTGTTACCTTATTTCGCGAAAATCCGAACGAAGCAGGGGAAATAAAAATGAAAAGAAAAAAAAATACTAGATAGGTAGGTACTTATTTAAATAATAGCAAGTTAAATTTTTGAAGAATTGGAAATGTAAAGAAGTGAAAGTAATTTTTGTTTACTGCTTCTGCACATTGAAACAAATATTTCCTTACTTTTTTTCGCCAGGGTCACTTAATTAGCGATGTGACTGGCATGCTTCTAAATTAAAAAACTCAAATTATGTTTATTCTATCGTTATATCGTTAGAGAGCTTAGAGCAGTTTTATAAATTTCAATTTATCTTCAAAGTTTTTTTCATGAAAATTAAAGGAAAAAAAAAATTAACCTGAAACATTTTAGTCAATCAAGTCATTCAAATCACTTATTTAAATGTTAATAGGAAATTAAATTGTGTGAAGCTTTGAAAGAATTAGTAATTGACGCAGTGATAAACGAATTTATACTTACTTCCCTGAGTTAATATTGGAATTCACACTTTACTACAGGAGACGACGAGAGAAACAATTTTTATGCAAATATTCTGATGAACATGATGTTAACAGTTGTTACTATTTTCTTCCATATTAAAAATGCTACAAACAGAAGAAAAAAATACTTGTCACTGGCTTTCAACATTCCTGAGCCTGTTAATTTAATTTTATATACATATATCATCACTCATGTACAAACAAACAAAAACTTTAAAGATGTTTTCAGGTGCTTAAAAAATTCCCTTACCTAAAAAAATAAAATAAATAATTTGTCTGTTATCACGAATCGCATAGAGGCTTAACAAATATAAAGAAAAAAGAGAGAACTGAGCAGTAATAGTCATACATAATAACAAGAAAAGGAAAAAAGTAACAATAGCAAAATGCAAAGCTAGGAGTTATGCACGAAAAAGGCTATAATCTGTAAGAAAATATGTGTGTTCCCATCCACGGATATTTTTTATTAATATTTCTTCTTCTTTTTTCCATTGCTGAGCAATGAATCATTAAGGAAGTTTGAATAAGAAATAGCAAGCATGAAAGTTTATTTTTATTATTTAATGTTGACATTCCAGTCTTATCAATGCCCCGTTATCAACTTTGTTTCATAAAAGTAAAAAGTAAAAAAAAACACTTGAGTACTCAAGTAAATATTTACAACACAAAATGTAAGTAAATGGAAGTTTCTAATTTTTTTTTTTAAAATTCCAAATAATCTGTTGAAATTTTGATCGTATATGATCATCATATAAAATATCGATACAATGAAATAATTAATCTATAAGCGTCGATATGAGAAAGAGTCAACAAAACTGTTTTGTTGTGGTTAAACATGTAAAACTTTTCAATCGCTATACAATAACAGCAGTCCTCAGTACATATTGGCTAAAAGTAAATCGCTGACACAAAGGAGAATGTTGCATATTTCCAGTATCAAAGTGAGAGAAAAGAGTGCTTGAAGGATAACTGGATAGTGGCGCCAATCCGTTTTTAATACGATTGCATTCCATTACATCTTGATTAATGATTATAATAGTAGTGGCTCATATCTTATTGATACGATCATTAGAGTTTAAAAGCATCCATGATAGAATTTTTGCGGGCCTTAATATTTATTTATTATCGGTTTTGTAAAAAAACTTCACCATTATATCTAAATATCAATTCAATATATGATAAAGGAAAAGGAACAAAACATAAACAACACGGTTCATCATTATTAAAAATGCAAAATTTTTCAAACTTGAAGCTTTTAATGCATCCGTCATGGTCAAACATTTAAATCTACAATTGGCAGTAGAACATCTTCAAAAAATGTATATATATCTACATAAATGTATTTATATACAATATGCATTTTATTTATATGAGTAAATTGATATTTAAAAAATGTTTAGTTAATGAAATCTACTAAATTGATTATTTTGTAGTTTTTTTTTCTATATACGTGAGCATTTTGTATTCCATTGCTATGGACAAATCTAAATCAAAAACATGAAGGTAGAAAATATGACAAGAAAGAAAATATTATATATTCAAAATATTTATACTCAATTATTTTATAAGTAGATACCTACTCCCTTAAATCCAAAAACCAAAACATGCGGATTGTTTTGAACGAAACAAGCCAAATATTTAGTTGAAGTAGCAGAAGAAGACAAAAAATCGTAACACTACCTATTTTTGTCTTTGTATTTTTCATTCTTAGGAATTTGATAAATTATATGATTAGCGGATTACGATGATGACGATTCTTGTAATCATTTTCTAATTATCTAAGTTCTTCGTTATAATAATGAATTATAAAAAAATTTCTTGCATCTGAGTATAACTTATAAACCTTCCTAGTTGAGGCCTAAGTAATGTTTTTAACATTTCCATCTCATAATCATTCAGCAAAAAAGAACAATGGATGTTTGTATTCCTCAATTTAAAATAACATTCTATTGATCGTACAAAGAAAGTAATAAGAGAATCAAATACATGCATTAGAATTTTTAATTTAATAAATGTTAAAATTTAATGTTTTGTCAAAAATAAAAACTAAAAAGAAACAAACAACAAGCAACACAATCATACTTAGCCCATTATGCAGAAAGAAAAACTTTCCGAGGAGCGCTAGTAAACTGAAAAAGCAAAAATGGTCGTCGCCTCACGGCACGGCACGTCATCAACATTGGAATGCGATAAAACTTTTTTATATGTTGTTTGTCATGTTGTTGTTTTTCATCTGCGTTTGTAAACGAATCCACGATTCTTCATACTTTGTTTCTTAGTTTCAAGTTTCAATTCTCTCATTTAATGATGCTATTCACACAAACATTCCTGATGATTAACGTAGCCGAACGAAATAATTAATTTCCATTTTTGTCCATTTTTCTTCTTATCAACATCAATCGTTATCATACATCGTATTATTAGTCCAAAGATAGATACATGAAATTAGAAGCTTTCTTGAAAAATGAATTTTCAATGTCAATACTATTAATTGATCATGTGAATATCACGAAATGAAGAAAAAAATTCTTCGTTATTTCAACCGTGCCTACCATCATTTAAATGAAAAAGATAAATGTATGGAAAGAAATTCTTTTGTCGTCATCACGGTTGTTATAAGCGAGTCTATTTCTTTTCTCCTTTTTTAAGATACTTTAACGATTTTCTTCTAAACATGATGTGTACTATAAACGACTGAAATGTATTTTTATTTTATTATACACAATCGTTGTTGGAAATTCCATTAAACATTCTTCCATTTTACATAAATATAAACTATCTTTGATTATGTCTCTTCGTCTCTCCATACCCTTCCTTTCATCTGCATTCATGGGCAACACAAGTCCATGCTTAAAGTTGATTCCTTTATTCACCATAGAAAAACTGTGTTTGTGTGTGTGTGTATGTGTATACACATGTATATACGTTTGTAATTTTTACAGTTCATTTACTCTTGTTTAAGTTAGAGCTCGAAGAAGCAAAGCAAAGAAAAGAGAATAAATAAATAAAAAGAATCTGAAATTCTTTCGTTTCTCTCTTGTAGTACAACACGAAAAGAAGATTTTGTGTAGGCAAAAGTAAAGAAAGAAAGAATAAATTGAAGAAGTTTTATATGTTTATGTTCATATTCCCATTTTGATTGTCTCTGTTCTCAATCTAAATATTGAATGCCTTTATTCCTGCTTCAATTCAACGAGTCTCGATAAACTGATCAACAATCTTATTTATTGCTAATCTTCCTCGCTGTTTACTGATTATTTCTCCTCGAGATATTTTAAGTATTTCTCATCGCGACTCATTTCTCAATCAAATTTCATGCCTGCGATATGCATTATGTATCATGTGCTTACCGATTCGTGTAGTCCATTTAATCATATGTACATGGATTTTTCAACACAATGCATGGCACATCTGTTGAAAGGCAAGCCACGGTGTTGATGGCAATTTTGACTAAAAAAATAAAAAGATATTAAAGAAAATGATTAGATTTAACTAATGGTAGATTAAAAAAAATTAAATAGTCCCAACAAGCGACAAGATATTCAGTAAAAACGCACAAACAACGCATGAGATATGTTCCAAAAATAATATCGGAAAAAAGAATAAGCAAGAGAAAAAAACATGATACAACAGAAGCAACATGTAGCTTTAAAAGGCTTTAATAAAAAGAAGAGAAACATAAGAAAATGATATTTATGTCGTTGCTACTGTATTTCGCTTCAGTATTATTTTTATTGTTCTCCAAATTCTTTCATTCTTCTTCATTTCATATTTTTTTTTATTTTCTTTACCCTCGGCCCTCTCGGGTTTTTTTCAATACCATCGAACCAATTGAAGAGAGTAAAAGAAGTAAAGAAGAAACACATGGGAAGAAAAATAGAAGAAGCAAGCAAATTTTTTTGTCAAATCTTTTTCTTTTCATTCTCGTGGATGAAAAAAAATGGTATAGAATTGAAGATCTTTTATTGTAATTTTTCTCTTCATATTTCAAGCGGAAAAGTTTAAGATTCTTTTCGTTGTTCCAGTTTCTCAGGTTTACAAGACTAAGGCACAAAACTATCCCTTTTCTTTTCTTTTTTATCTTCGAGCAAGCGATAATGTTGATGACGATAATATCGAAATTCACTCAATAGATATTTATTTGTGGAGAAATTTTTTTCTGCTCGAAAACACTATTACTT